GAAGAAGGGAGGGAGGAAATGGGAAGAAGAGGAAGAAGGGAGGGAGGGAGGCAGATCCATACGTCTTACAGGGTCTGGCATTTCAGACAGTACCAATACACTGGATAAATGGGGGGTGGGGGTGGGGGGTTGCGCATGTATGCTTTACTTGAGCCTGGAAATTAAGGGACACAATTCGAGAGGTGAGGTGTCGGGCTTTCACTTTCGCACTAAAAGCTGTACTGAAATGTAGGGCTGATTTGCCGCATACGCTGGAAACACACCGCCAATACCTGGGAGCCTGCAGTGCACAGCCCATATGCCTCCCGTCGCAGAAGGCCAGATGTTGTGAAGAACCCGAGAGAACCACCCCGTTTCAGTCTCAGAAAGGAGGAAGCGGGGGAGGGCAGGGAGGGAGGGAGGGAGGGAGGGGGTTTAAAGGAGAGGCTGTACGGGGGAGGCCGCAATACCCAACGCAGGCGCTGGTGTGCCAGCCGCGGCAGGCGCGTAGATGGATGTTCCCGTATCAACACTGATGGGTTTGGGTTGGCTTGCTTCACGCGGAGGTGGCAGATCTCAACCCCGATGGCTGCGTTTTGGAGAAACAGAGAGAGAGGGCGCTTCTCACGCAGACGGGGGAGGGACCTCCCCCCCCCCCCAGGGAGGTGGGCGGTGCTCAGCCGCCGCTGCCGCCCACCTCCTTCCCCGGAAGGAAGCGCCTCGGATGCGGGTTCAACGCGCTAACGCCGGAGGAGGTCCTTGGGCAAACTGGTACAAGACAACGAAACGGTGGAAGCCTCGACAACTTCAGTGCAAGTCAGTCAACTCTACATTGACCGTGGTAAGCCTTTGGCTTGTAGTAAACTGCTCCGGGGGATGAGAGTCCAACTCTGAAGGCAGGATCGCTGGCCGGGGCACTAGGGCTGAGGGGAGGGCTGGAAAGGAGCCGGCTGAGGAGGGGGAGGGGGAGGCGGGGGTGCCGACGGCAGCGGGGTCTGCGTGTTCGGAGAAGGAGGAGGCGTGGGGCGCTTGAACTTGTCCGGGCTGTTGCTTCTTCGCGGCAAAGGCCTCTGCAGGAGGAAACAAACAAGGGAGAATGGGAGAATGACAGCCAGGGCCAGAATCGGAGAGATGCCCTCACAACTGGGAGAGCGAAGCCCAACCGGGACCCCTGGCAGGGCTGCCCTACTCTGAGGCTCCATCCCAGCAGACTGAGCAAGGGGCAAGGGGCAAGGAGATGCTTCCCGCCAAGCGTGAACACGGCAAGGCCAATCTTGCTGCTTTCTGAAGGGGGCCATGCAAACGTTTTCCATCGGTACCCGTGACACCTCCCGGCCCCTCGTCCCAATCTATGACTTCCCGCCACGTTCTCTGCAACCAAAATTGGGCCGGAGCACTCCTTAAAACCTGGCCTCGGGAGAACAGGGGTGGAGGGTCCTTCTACACTGATCTCCTCCTCTGTGCCCCCACCCCAATGTCCCCCCCCCTCCGTGGCCTCGAGAGAAGATGGGCTTCCGTTCTTGAAGGGCTGGAGGCAAAGGAAGATGGGGAGCTGGAGGCAAGAGCGCTGGGGTTGATCACGCATGGAGGAGGAAGAGGTTAGTTAATAGGATAGATCATTGAGGCAAAGCCTTCAGTTCCTTCTTGAACTCAACACGTTGCCCCAGTTCAAAATTATTTGCCAGGTAGAAAACCCTCATCCGTTGCAGCAGCAAAAAAAAGTAGTCCTGATGCCTTTTTGTGATTTTAGAAAACTGGGCAGTGAAAGCTTAATAAACTAACAAAAGAAAAGAAGAAGAAAAACTCGAGATAGCATTTATGGTGATAAACTGATGGTTGGCCCTGAACCTGAATTAGCCTGGGACAATTCATTTGCCAAGGATGGGAGGCAAGGAAAAAAAATCAACTCTGCCATTGTTTTGTTCTTTATGGTTTGGGGGTTTTATGGGCTTGTAGATGTTTAAAAAAGGCTTCGTGATCAGGAGATTCTTTGACCTTTTGTTCTGGAGAGAGTGCTAGGGAGAAGCAGCAACTAAATGGGACACACAAATGCGTAGCACAAAGAAAAGGAAGAGCTGCAGAGCACACACACACACACACACATAATCTAGTTCCTAATTGAAGGGAAATCAATCAATCCAGTGCAGCGTTTCTCAACTTCATCGACTTTAAGATGTGCAGATTCCAACTCCCATAATTCCCCAGCCATTACGAGCTGAATTCCACCCAACGTAAAGTTGCCATCTTTGAGAAATATTGCTCTAGTTTAAAAAGAGAAACATGGGCTTGGTAGCATCCCAGTCTGAAAGAAACCAGGAAACAGAAAAACTGAGGGGTGTGTGTGTGTGTGTGTGTGTGGTGTTAAGGAACGGTAGATCAGGGGTCTCCAACCTTGGCAACTTTAAGACTTATGGACTCCAACTCCCAGATTTCCTCAGCCGTTCTGGGAATTCTGGGAGTTGAAGTCCACGGGTCTTAATGTTGCCAAGGTTGGAGAGCCCTGCCATAGATACTCACCGCAATGCTGTGGGAGGGCCCCATATGCTGCACGTGAAGGCCAGGAGAGTTATAATAAGACATGCCAGCTCTGGTGAGTGAAGTTGGGGGAGTGAAGCCAACGGTGTGACTTGCATACGAGAGACCTGCAACCAGAAAGCGAGAGAAGGCATCACGGCGGATGGAGGGAGAGGCAACTACTTCCCCGTCCAAGAGGAAGAAGGAAAGGTAGGTAAGAGGTCTGCAATTCTGTTGACAAGCTACTGGTGCCTCCTGGTCAGGCCAAAAGAGGTGAGGCCATTTAAGTGCATAAATATATAGCTTGCCCCAACCTAGAAGTTTCAAAGCAGGAAATAAAATTGTCTGAATTGGAGAGTTAATGCTAGGAGTGGCTGGGTGGTAAAATCTGAATAAAATTAACCTTAAAAAAAAAAACTGAGACTAAGATATAAAAGGAAACATGTCGAAAAACTATAAAATCTCTTTCTGAGTTACGCAAATGTTAACAAGTGTTTGTGGTTTTCAACAAATCCATGGCATAAAAATGCCTAAGCTCTGTTTGTTGACTAATTACATGCCCAGATTTCAATATAATCTGTCTGCTTTAAGACTGCAGAGCCTCCACTGACTGGTCCTAGTGGAAGATTAACTACATGGCCAAGCAAGACGCGCGTGTGCCAAAGGCAAAAACACTGAATTTTCCATATTTCTTACCTGGTGAGATGGGCCTGCTAGAACTTGGAGACGGTGTGTATGGAATTGGGCTTGACACAGTGCGAGGTCTTAATCCTTGCGCAGACATTTCATTAAAGTATCTAAGAGATAGAGATCAATTCATTTTAATTTGCCACAAATCAATTTCCTTACTTTAGGCTTTCTTCTAGTTTTTCTGGATGCTTTTCTAAGATACTAGAGGAACTTCATGATAAACTTCATACGACTGACTAAATAAGAACATTTTTTCATCATTCACGAGGGTATTTTCTAATACAGCAGATTGTCAGGATTTTTAGGCATATTAAGTATTGTACATGACAATCATAAATACTGCGTTACACTTTTACACAAATGCGTAAGGAATACGGGCAACAAAGCTCACTTCCAAAATGCTTCAGTGCCAAAAGCACAGAATTCTCCCCTGGTGCTGCCAAACGCAACTCATCCCACCTTCTTCGAAGAGAACTGTCCGCTCTTCGGAGGAATTCTCTGCAGATTTCACTGAGGTATCCACTCAAACTCACAGGCTGGCCCTGCCAGGCTTAAGTGCACGGTAAGGCTAACTTCAAAGTAACTGAGCTGCTGGCATTTCATCCCTTCAAACTGGCAAAGCTGGCAGACTCCAGATACCAGAAGGACTCCTCAAAATTAACAAGAGAATGTTAGATGAAGCAGCAGGAGAATCCCCATCAACACAGCAGACCTTGCCATCTGGGCAAAAGGACTGATCTGTTGTTTCCCCTAGACATACCTCTGCGTTATGAGAAAGCCAGAGATGGGCCTCCAGGCCGCGTCAGGGCCCTGGCCTGCCCAACATCATCCCCTACTTCTGCAGTTGCTGTTGCTGGCCTGTCCCTGCAGAGGCCTGGAGTGACCCTTAGCTTAGGTGTGATGGCCTAGGGCATGGCACAAAGGCAACACAGTCACATAAGTAAGAAAAGTCCCTTTAGTGCCTCCAACTTTGCCCCCAATGTCCAGGTTACCTTCGGCTGGAGAAAAAACTCTCCCAAGAACAGTTTTTAAGTGGAGAAAATTCAGTCCGAAAACAAAATACATACAAACTGTAACTAAAAATCCACGCAAACCACGCTGCAGCAATTGACTGGACAGGGCAGGAGAAGGAATTGCAGACTTGAAAGGCCAGCAAAACACACACAGTTGGGAAGATGCCAGGAACCCAGATAAGCCTCGACAATACCAGATAAACTCACGATTTACTCCCAACAACTTTGCTGTGTGCAATCTCCCTTTTTAAACACTGTGTTCCCAGCTTCAGCTAATGAAGGGAATCAGGGCCCTTTCCTTCCCCGTAAGCCACACAACTCACGTTGCTCCCTTCTCTGTTCCTCCCTGTGTGCCCTAGGATGAAGAGGGGGTGGGTCTGTATCTTCCTCCGAATTCCCTCTCCCCTGCTCTGCCCAGCCGGCCTTTGCCCTTCCCCAGTTTCTTCCACAGTCAATGGAGCCACACTCCCACTCCTTTTCAGCTGCTTGGCCTCCCCCTCTGACAGGGGCATGACATTAGGCTCAAGGCCAGGTGTGCTGTCAATTGCAGAAGAGAAAGCGTCAGACCTGGAAAAGTCTGTTTCCAGTTGCAGCCCCAGAGCCCTGAACTCTGAAAGCCAGGATAAGGCAAGCCCAAACCTTTCATCGTCCATTTCCAGACTGGATTCACTTTCAGACAGCTGCCGGCACAAGGCTTCCCTCCGCTCCATCTCCCTCTGCAGTTTCCGCTGGAGCCTCAGGTTCTCCTCTCGCATGTGACGTTCTTCCTCCAGGTACTGGGCCATCTTCTCTGAATCTGAGGGTTCAAGATGGCTGGTTATTAAACCCACGGCTGTGCTTAGTTTAGAAGGACCACAGATCTTGGCAAACGTTGCACAACTCAACCCTCAATTCCGCTGAATCCAAGAAGGTGAACACGGAGAGCTGAGCAAATCACAGTTTAACCTTAATTGGCATTGAATTGGCTACAATGGGAACCATCCAGGGTTCCCCAAGGTTAATTCATACCTGTCAGAAAGTTGTTGGTTGGGTAAAAGTGAGAGTGTCGGTGCCTGGTTCGGACAGGCTGGCCAGCCATCCTCAAAAGCAGGAGTCTCCAAACCTGGCAACTTGCAGACTTGTGGACTTCCACTCCCATGGGAGTTGAAGTCCACAAACCCGCAAGTTGCTGAATGTTGGAGACTCCCTGCTCAAAAGCATCAATATTATCTCCGAAAATCTCAACCCACAATAAACACTTCTCGTCCCGAAGGAGGAACCACCACAATTTACCAAGCTACCAGCACCAACCCTTGACATGGGGAGAACATCCCCCACTGGAACAACTGTCTCTGTCGTGATGGCAGAAATGACGACATAAATGTCCAAAAACTTTCCAAAGTATGGGGAGCAGAAGAAGGCTCAGGAATTCTGGGCGTTGAAGTCCACAGCTCAGTAAAGTTTCCAAAGTTGCTGATCCTTCCCCGAGAGTTTTGGCCTAAACAGAGAACTGGGGACAGAGATCAGAGATAACCCAGAGTGCTACAGCTTGATGGAGGCCCAGAAAGCTCCAGGCCTTCAAGGACCACTGTGGGGGCAGACAGAAGATAAGGGGAGAGGGCCACGAGAGGCTTTTGAATTCTAATGCTCAGGGCTAACATTTGCACATCGGCCGTCCTGATTCCCAGACGTCTGTCGCGCTCACTTCCAAGGGACAGGCAAGGACGCAAAGATTACAGCCTTGACCTCCTTTGAAGTGACAGCACTAACTTTGCACACCTTGCCAACAAGGACTCCGCCTAAAAACACGTCTTCTTCATTTCCCGTCCTCAAAGGACGTTGATTGCCACTAAATGCTCTGTCTCAGAAAGCGAAGTTGAAATATTGCCTTTAATTTATGTCCAGGAAAAAGGCGGAAGGCAAGTGATCCACAAATATTCAAATGCGGGGGGGGGGGGGGGGGG